CATACATACATACATACATACATACATACATACATACATACATACATACATACATACATACATACATACATACATACATACACTTCGAAATGAAGTTGGGACTTATGACTTGAACCCATTTGCATACCAGTGGCTAGATACTCGGGAGCCGCGTATCCATAGGTCCCCATGATTCTAGTCGAAACATGGCTCTTATCGCCAGTCGGTCCATCCTTGGCTAGCCCAAAATCCGAGAGCTTGGCATTGTAGTTCTATAAGGAAAAAAAACATTATCGTTGGTCGCTAAACAACATTAAACCAAACTAGACCAAACCAAACGAGCCCAATATATCCCACCCGGAGGCAGGGTCCAGGGATAAGATGTACGCAAGCACACGTGTCCTCTACCCAATGAGTAGTGTCCTCTACCCAATGAGTAGAGCGCCAGTCTCCGTGAGGACCCCCGGCTTTTCAAAACCAAACAAACCCAACATACCCCACCCATAGGGGGGGTGTCTGGGAGTGGGATGTAAGCAGACTTGTTTTCCACCCGAAGAGTAAAACAGTTGTTTCCGTAAGGACCCCTGACATGTGAAAAGGGTGAAAGGCAACAAAAAACACGTTCATCTTGCAAAGGACACAACATACCGAATCTAGCAACACGTTAGAAGTCTTGAAATCACGATAAATCACTTTGGTTTTCGCATTGTGAAGAAAAGCGAGGCCTTTAGCAGCTCCAAGAGCAGCCTTCAGTCGAAGACTCCACGATAATGGTTGAAAATAAGATCCTCCTATCGATCAATCATGAAAAAAAAAACATAATATTACCGAACCAAACCAAAGAAACTTGGTATATCTCGTACAGATAAAGTCTGACGGTATATGATGTACGCAGATCTTGCCTCTGCCTCGACCCCAAAGGGTAGAGACATTATTTCTGTTTATATAAATCTACAAAACTAGAAAACAAACAGAACTCACTCCTGAATAAGTGATTTTCCAAGCTTCCACGAGGCATGAATTCGTACACTAAAAGTCGTTGTTCGTCCTCCAAACAATACCCAATCAGTTCTACGAGATTTGGATGTGAAAATTGCCCAAGATAATTCACTTCCGCCTATAAAGACCGAACCCGAAAAAACACAAATAAGTCGGAGAATCAAGAAATCTTGAATTCATTCAAATTGTTTTATAGATTTCTAGAACTAAATTTGTAGAAAGCCTCMCCAGCCACTCTCTGTGACCTTGAAAGCTTTCTTGATTAAGCTTTTTGACAGCAATAACAATGCCGGTTCCAGGCTTAGTAGCTGTGAACGATTGCTCATCGATCCAACCCTTGAAAACCGAACCGAACCCGCCTTCTCCGAGCACGCTATCGGGCCGGAAGTTTCTGGTGGCCATCTTTAGATCGGAAAAGCTAAAGCTTTTTAGATTGGGCGACTGCAAAATCTCGCCTTCGCTCCGGGGTGTTGGCGGCACTGATGAAACCTTGCTGCTACTTGAAGTGCTAAGATCATTAACATTCTTCGAGTTTGCCCCTGAATCATTCACAATTACATCCAAATTATTGCACTAAAATGTTTCATATAAAACGGTTATTATAGTGGTTAATAACCCTTGCTCCCCCTTAACTCTCCCCCCAAAAAAAATGACGATATAAGGTTCAAGGCTATACACGCCTTCTGAATTTGAATACCATTTCAGGACAGGGCACGCCCCACCCCCCGCCCCCCAAAGGGCTTCTGCCCCTTGGAACCTCACTAGGAGGACAAGAATAGCAAGAATAACCTAATATGGGGGCAAGAATAGCAAACACATAAACCCCACTTCAAATTACACATAATTATTCTCAATAAACTCAAAGAATCAAAGAAAACACAATTCCAAAGAAGGGAAACTTCTGAAGTTGCATTAAATCAAACCTGTGTGAAATGGACTCTTTTCTTTGAATTGAGCACTGAAACAAACACCCATTGAAGTTCTTGTTTCTGGGTGGCTCTTATTTCACCAAAGTTCTTGAATTTGAAGAGCTTAATGAAACAGATGGTTCACTAGAGCTACATAGCTAGCTAACAACACCAAAATCAGATCTGGGTGTGGAATTCTTGAACCCAAGATTGTATTTTGGTTATGGATCATACTAAACGAGCTTAAATCACATATACCCAGATCGAATTCGTGCCAAATTTTGTTCAAAAACCCTAAAGTTTGTGAGCAGATAGGAAAGGGTGGTGGTGGGTGTTGAGTATATAGGTGTTTGGAACAGGACAAATAACTGATTGAAGAGAGAGAGAGAGAGAGAGAGAGAGAGAGAGAGAGAGAGAGAGGGGTAGATGAAGGTTGGGGAGAGATGGCATTAATGGTAGAATGCCTCCATATTCATAAGCTTCCAACTGTTTGTGTTTTTGTCTGTGAGAGATGAGGATAAAGGAGCTTTCTTTAGAGCTGCCAAGGTTTCCCCCATTACGTTGATGGAGATGGTTTCTTGCAAAAATCAATAGTAATTACTCTTCTCTCATTAAAACAATGCTATTATTCATTAATGAATAAATATTTTTAACAAAAATATTTTGGAAAACTTTTTTGAAAAAAAATATGACCAAAAACACCTTTTTCCTTGTATGATTACTAAATTTCAAAAAAAACTTGTTTTTTTCTTATGAGTTGTGATTTTTTGAACCTTTTGTTAAAAAAATCACATAAGTGATCAAAATACATACAAGAATTAACAAAATAACCATTTTTATGTATCTATACTATATTATAAAGCATTTGACAAAAACTCTTAAAAATTATTTTTTATGCATAAAATACTGTTTATTAATGCATATTACTTAAAACTCAAGATTGCAAGTAGATTTTGCGTAAGTACAACTTATTAAAGCTCCATATCTGAATTCATGTAACTAACTACAAAAAAAATAATCAAATACAAGATAAACATCTCATTTTAAATATAAAAAATCTAAAATATAATTAGGATAATCATTTAATTCTAACATAATACTTAATTATTAT